TCTCTCTCTGTCAAATAAATAAATATTTTTAAAAAAATAAAAAGGGGAAATAGATACACATTTTTATATGCTTATATATAAATATATAGATACACATTTATATATAAACATATATAGACATAAAAGAAACTATAAGAGTGGTTGCCTCTAGAGCAGAAAGGGTCTAAGAGGCAAAGGTGAATAAATGGAATGATCAAATGATCAAACCTAACTTCCAACAAAACTGAGACATGTTGACATCAGGCTGACATCAGACTCTAGATGGGACACACTGACAGGCATACAACATCACCTCTGACATATTCTTGACCAAAACATTTACGCTAAAGCTAATCATAAGGAAACAATCAGACAAATCCAAATTGAAGGATATTTTGCAAAATACATGGCCTGAATTCTTTAAAAAAGTCAAGAAAGACACATAAGGCAGGACACTGTGCCAGATTAAAGGAGACCAAAGAGATATGACAAGAAAATGCAATTTGTGATTTTTGATTGGATCCTGGAAAAAATAAAAACACCTATAATGGATGTTATTGGGATAACTGGGAAAATCTGAAATACAGGCTGCATTTTGGATAACAGTACTATCCTAAGACATTATTTGTACTGTGATTATGTAGGAGAACGTCCTTGTTCTTAGCAGATACTTGCTGAAAGTGGTGAAAGGTACTGATGCCCACTACTAACTCTCAAAAGATTTGGCAAAAATAAATATTGTACATAATTTAGAGAATGCAAGTGAGCAAGCACATGAACAAAAGGGAAAATGGTACACATAGGTGAAAGGTTTATAAATATTCAATGAATTCTTCTTGCAATTTTCATGTAGATTCAAAAATTTTCAAAATAGGTGCATTTGAGTGGCTCAGTCGTTAAGTGTTAAGCATCTGCCTTCGGCTCAGGTCATGATCCCAGGTCCTGGGATAGAGCCCCACATCGGGCTCCCTGCTCAGCCGGGAGCCTGCTTCTCCCTCTCCCACTCCCCCTGCTTGTTTTCCTGCTCTCGCTGTCTCTCTGTCAAATAAATAAATAAAATCTTTAAAAAAATTTTTTTTCAAAATAAAGAGCTGGGAAGGAAAAAAGGAACACAGTAAAAAAATATGTGTCTGTAAGTCCACACTATAAATAAAAGTGTAAAGCCTTTTGTAGGCCTTGTATTCTTACAGTTTTGGGTGCATTAATGAAAAAGATGAACATGTAAACAATATCTACCAAAAGAAAATAAGAATGTCTTGTAAAGGGCAAATGAGATGAATTAATTATTTTAAATATCTTTGTTCCACAATTTATGCCATAATCAATCACCAGCTGACACTTAGGGTACAAAGCAAATTTTACATTGTAACCATATCTAATATAATTCAATCTTTTTACAGGAAAAAAAAAAAAGCCCATTCTAGTTGGTTGCATTTGAATTGCCCATAATCCACAAATCCAAGCATAGGTAAATTTTTTACCCGTCACATTTTCTAGGACGACAACCTCCTTTCCCAACTTCCCAATTAACACTCACTTCACCAAATAGTTGTTTCAAAATCCCTATGAAAATAGTTCCCACAAAAACACAGCTGCTTGATCCAAAAAATACAATAGCCCAGCTTTCCTCTCAATTGTTCCCTAAACCGATGTCACGAAAAGGCAGGAAGCCACACAGTAACCGCTCGCTACCTTACGCCGAATGTTCCAGAATCTCAGTTTCAATCCAGCATTTTAAAACGACAACAAAACCCTCAAAACTTGTAACATAACCTTGCACTAAAATATGCCGGGGGGGAGGGGTGAGGAGAGGGACTCCTGAGGACGCTGTGAGACCCCAGCGCCCCCAGAACCGCCCCGAACGCCGGGGGCGCCACCTCCTGACCGCCCGGGGAGGCTCAGGGTCCCCACACGCGGCGCCCCCCGCCCCCGACCGGCCGAGGGGCCGCATAGGCGCGACGGGGCCCAGCCCCTCCAGTCTCTCCCGGCCCCGCTCACTCTTCATCCTGGATTCGGAAGCCGACGACAAGCCCTTGCCGACACTGGACGGAGAAGAAAGGGGCAGAAAGGACGGCCCCCTGGCTTCCACTCCTCTGAGGCAGGGTCCCGAGCTAGGACCTCCGCGCTGGCCCCCCGACAGAAAACGTTAGGGCCCGGCCGCCATGTTGTATCTCTGTCACCTTAGCAACCGTCAGGTCCTGGACGCCTCCAGGCTGCCGCCCGCGCGTGCGCAAAACGCCATGTCCGCATCCGTCGGCCCTACGTGTACGCGTGCGCAGTGCGGCCCGCCTCCTTAGTCTGGTTGCTAAGCAACCTCCCCAGCAGCTTTTCGTGAGCAATTCCCGGCCTTTGAAAAGTGTGGGCAACCTTCCGGGATCGCGATCCCCATCCTGCCTGAGAATTTATCCAGAAGGACAGTCGAGCTTTAACTGGGCTGGGGACGCACTAGATAACTGTCAGTTGATACCTGTTCTTTGCGGTCTCATCCTGCAGTTGAGCGTCTACTAACTAGTCCGGTACCCAGAGGTTGATTTATAAGTTTTTGTTTTTAATTCAACAAGCATTTATTGAGCATAGGGCACTGTTGCAGGTTTTGGGACTATAAGGGAGAGCAGTGCAGTCAAGGTCCCTTACTTCCTGAGACTTCTATTCCCGTGTAAAGTTGAGGGAATGAATATGTGAATAAACTATGTGCAAATAGGGTGACTAAGCGAACAGCGGCCAGCCCCCAAGGAGCTGACAATGCACTAAAAGTAACAAGTATGTATCAGTGCAGCGTTTTATGAAGTTCATTGTCTTGTATTTGCTTTTTTCATCCCCACAACTACTCCATAAGGTCAACTATTCCTGATTTTTCCAAGTAATTTTTGAAATTAAAGAAATGCGTCCATTGTAAAAAAAAAAAAAAAATCAAAATACAGAAATATATCAAAGAAAATTTGAAATAATCCTTTCGAAGCACTTCTATCGTTCTCACTCCCCTCCTCCCCAGAATTAACCACTGGCAACAGTTGAGTGGCATCTTTTCAGAATTTCTGTGCATGAGTTTGCAGACTTTCCTCATAATTGAAAATCATATTCTTCTATAATTTGGTTTTTTTAAAGATTTTATTTATTTATTTGACAGAGAGAGAGAGCACAAGCACAGGGAGCAGGCAGAGGGAGAGGGAGAAGCAGGCTGCCCTCCGAGCAGGGAACCTGACACAGGGCTTCGATCCAAAGGGCTTTGAGCCAAAGGCACTCAACTGACTGAGTGGTTCACCCAGGCGCCCCTATAATTTGCTTTTTTTTTTACTTAACAAATCATAGTCATCTTTTAATATTAGCACATGGTGAGTTACCCTATGTTTTCTAACTGCTGCATAATATTCCACAGTTTGGGTACACTCTCGTTTTTTTAACCATTTCCCTATTAATGTTTCCTATTTTTACCATTACAAACAATACTTCAGAAAATATCCTTGTGCATATCTTTGAGCACACATGTGACTATTTCTGTTGGAACTGATAGATTATAAGACATCTACAATTTAGGAGCACCTGGGTGGCTCAGTTGGTTGAGTGTTTGCCTTAGGCTCAGGTCATGATCCCAGAGTCCTGGGATCGGGCTCCCTGCTCAGTGGGAAGCCTGCTTCTCCCTCTCTCTCTACGACTCCACCTGCTTGTGTGCTCTCTCTCTGTCAAATAAATAAAATCTTTTAAAAAAAAAAAGACATCTACAATTTAAATGTTGACTTACATGAAATCGTTCTCTAAAAACTGTGCCAACACACAGAGAGATCTATATATGAATTCCCTTCCCCCATACTTACATGGACACAGGATATCTACTAAGATTCAGGAAAAGATCAAAACATGACAACGTGCAATTTTTAATTTCTTTATGCTTCTCAATCCCTCTCTCTTGTCCTACCTTGAGGACATATTCTTCTCCTCTGGAAAGCTAGAAGCTTTCTCCTCTATAAGCCACTGCAAGGGAGATCTGAACACTTCCAATGCTGGACTCAGCCTTTCTTACCTGTCCCCTACCGTCTGGATCTCATCTTGGCAGGGGACAAAAATACCTGCCTAGGTGCTCTCTACCCTCAACACTTCCTTCCTCCCTGTCCCCACAAGACACCTCAGTTTCCTCCACACCCCTCCACCTTTTTCTACTCACCTCACCTCTCGCTGGTCCCAACCTCCTCCTTCCAGCCCCAGGGTGACCAAGTCTCCACAGCTGCCTGTCATTTACAGGATAAATCTCCATTTCTCACCCCATATACAATCTCCCTCTACCTGAAATCTTCTGGCCCAACACTTTGCCCATCCCATCTTCCTTTGAAGTCTTTGTGCCCAAAATCATTTTGGT